ACGCCTGGTGGCCGGCGTCGAGGTACTCCCTGCACCACTTCAAGGCGATTTGCACGCCCGGCGAGCAGCACCGTGAGATGACCGTGAAGGTCAACAGCTGCACAGCGCGGAACTCAGCTCGCAGGTCGGGATCGCTCGGCGTCGCCACGGTACCTCGAGCAAAGCTGATCAGCCCGGCCATCTCCAGCTGGGGCTCGATGGCCTCCTTCCAGGTGAGTATGTATGGTCGACCAACCAGCGGGGGAGTCACCGAGATCCTATCCGGCGTGAACTTGAAGTAGCCGTAGCTCGGCGCAATTCCGCCCGCCGTCACCTGGGACGCCGACATCGGCGTCAACCTGCTTCGTCGACCTCCGACGTCGCCCTGCGAGGTGCCCACAGCTGACGTCGACCGAACCCCTCGCCCTTGAACGCCGCCGACTTCGTCGGCGTGAATCACACCACGCTGCCTCGACGTGCCTCCCACACTGCTGCCGACTTGGTCGCCTCCGGCGTTGACGCCCACGTCGACGCCGCCCTCGGTGTTCACCGGTCGAGGAGAAGCAGGCCGAGAAGGGTGCTCCGTCGCCCACAAGGAACGGATGCCAGCCTCAACGACCGCCCACGGCAGGTCGCCATACTCGTTGGCCTCGTGCTTCCTCCTCGCGTTCTCCAGCCGTGCCTCCAGGGTGTCCACCACCCCCGTGTCACCTACGGCCACTACCATAGTGACAATCGCACAGCTGCCGGCCTACGAACCACTTAGGTAAGGTGCCTACCAAGTCGACTAGACTGAAAGGTAAGTCGTAGTGCCGTCCACGCTCACCGCACCATGCGGAGATAACTCTAGTAACGGGAGCTAGACTACGGGCTAGGCACGGGTGCTCGTGTGATCTCTGCGTGGTCCTTCGTTTCCTGTGTTCTGCTCGCTAGTTCATAGTGCACATGCTCGCTAGTTCATAAGGCAATTTGGCAAGAGTTTCACTAGAGAAAGTTGACAACAATGATACAATGAAGTTGGCAAGGCAAGACTACATCAGAGCTAGCATGCAAGCAGATCGACTGCCAGCGCAGCACGGTCGACCGCGTGCCAGCACGACTTGGTCGACCACGCTCCAGCAGTGCAGAGACGCGGCTTGCCAACGCTGTAGGTCGACGGCGTGACAACCGTGCTAGTCGACGGCGTGCCAGCGTTGCTCTTGCAGTCCAGCAGCGCACCAGCTCCGCAGGTGCTCGTAGGCGATTGGCGCGCACTGCTTCGTCACCTGCACAGCGCACACACCAAGTCCACCTCGTGCTGACGACCGCACCTCATCCGCCAGGTCGACCTCGGGATACCACCACCGAGGTCGTTCTCGCCAACTTCGCCTGAGCGACCTTCGCGTGCCTTCGCAGACCCTCGTCACCCAGGTAACCTGGTCGACCAGGCAACCAGGTCGACCAGCCGTTCCCGTGCGTGCCCGTCGACCTCCCAAGTCGACGACCACTTTCGGTCGACCTCCCCAGGTCGACCACTACTCCCTGGTCGACCAGCTCTAGGTCGACGTCACTCCTGGTCGACCAGAGGGTCTGGTCGACGTCCCAGGCCGTGCAGGTCGACCAACCTCGTCGACCGACTCGCCCACTGCTGCAGGTCGGCTGCATCCCTACACCCGACCACGAGGTCGGCTCCGCCCAAGCGAGGACGGGGCCAACACCCAACTCCCGTTGACATGATATGGCAGCAGTGGCACCAGAAGGGGCAGCGGCGACGGCGGCGAGGGTGAGCGGCAGCCAGTCGTGGTAGAATTGGCGCAGCAGCCGGTCCGCCTCGCCCACCACCTGATGGGGGCAAGAGGGCATGCAGACGGTGCAGGGGGTGCACGGAGGGACTCATGGGGAGGCATGGGGAGGCATGGGGAGGCATGGGGAGGCATGGGGAGGCATGGGGAGGCATGGGGAGGCATGGGGAGGCATGGGGAGGCATGGGGAGGCATGGGGGGGGAGGCATGGGGAGGCATGGGGAGGCATGGGGAGGCCGAGGGACAGAGGGGGCACAGCGGGCACAGGGTGAGGGTGAGGGGCAGTCAATTATGGTATGATTGGCACAGCAAGCGGCATGCATCGTCCACCACCTGATGGGCACAGGGCTGCGCATGGGGGACCAGGGGACAGAGAAGCACAGAGAGAATGTGAAGTCCCTGCACAGGGGGAAGCAGAGGGGAAAACAAGGGGAAGCAGAGGGGAAAACAAGGGGAAGCAGAGGGGAAAACAAGGGGAAGCAGAGGGGAAAACAAGGGGAAGCAGAGGGGAGAACAAGGGGAAGCAGAGGGAGAACAAGGGGAAGCGGAGGGGAAAACAAGGGGAAGCAGAGGGGAAAACAAGAGGAATCGGAGGAGGGAATTTGGAGAAGCGGAGGGGGGAATGAGGAGAAGAGGAGGGGGGAACGAGTAGAAGCGGAGGCGGGAAGGAGGGAAAGCGGAGGAGGGAATGAGGAGAAGCGGGGGCAGAAATGAGGAGAAGGGGAGAGGGAAATGAGGGGAAGCAGCGGGGGAACTGAGGGTAAGCAGGGGGGGAACGAAGGGGAAGCAGGGGGGGAACAATGTGAGCAGAGGGGGGAACGTGGGGAAGCAGTGGGGTAAATATGGGGAAGCTGGGGCGGACATGAGGGGAGGCAAAAGGAGAAATTAGGGGAAGCAGGCGGTTAAAAATAGGTAAATCAGGGGGGGGGGATAGGGGAAGCAGAGGGAAACAAGGGGAAGCAGAGGGGAAAACGAGAGGAAGCAGGGGAGTAAATGAGGGAAGAAAAGGGGGGAACGAGGGGAAGCAAACGGAATAGAGGGGAAGGTAACAAGAGGGAATGGAAAGGCAAGGAAGCGAGGACAAGGGATGGGCGGGTGGGAGAAGGGCAGCGGGAGTGGAGGCGCGAGGAGGGGCAGCGCGACGAGGGTGCTGGCGCGCTGATGGCAGGGGAGGCGCGGCGAGGCGAGCGGAGGCGCGGCGAGGCGAGCGGAGGCGCGACGAGGGGAGCCAAGGCGCGGTGAGGCAAGCGGAGGCGCGGCGAGGCGAGCGGAAGCGCGGCGAGGCGAGCGGAGCCGCGACGAGGCGAGCGGAGGCGCGACGAGGTGAGCGGAGACGCGACGAGGGGAGGCTCCCAGAAACGAGCGGGCTTGACGACGGGACAGGGGGCGCGGCGATAAGAGACGCAACTACGGGAGGCGAGGCACAAAATCATTGTGTATGCGCGGGTGAAGTTCCTAAATTCTGCGTATTTCACTGTGCTACGATGCGCTATCGGGAAGTTTTCTGGCTAGTACTAACACAAGGCTTGTGAGGTTGGCTACTCGTTTGGTTGGTTAGTTGGGTTGGTTTGTCGCACACTCATACCGATATTGAGTGACGAATTCCCAATCCCCTCGCAGCCTGATCTCGCTTTCGCCCCGCCCATATTCCCGAAAAGAACTTTTTTGCTTTTTCGCCAACACGTTTAAAGCCCTTCAGAAAATTTGCCAAAAACCATGCTGACCTTGGGCTTTAAAGCGACGGGTCACTTTTGGCAAAGGAACAGTGCTGACGTCAGCACTGCGCGAAATTGGCTCAGTGGTGCGATACAAAAGGAGTTGAACAGGCTGTGACGAAAAAAACGAAATGAGTGCGAAATCCGTACTGGGGAAGGAAGGCACACTTACCAAGGGACAAACGCGCGCAAGGGGAAGAAATTCGGGGGGAGGAACTTGACATCCGCAGCGCACCAACAACAAACCACACCCACAATTTTCACTCGACAGCAATAACCACACCACACATCACACGCCAATAGAGGCCTGAAGGGATGGCGACGGCGGAAGGGAGGGTGACGGGCGGAAGGGATGGCGACGGCGGAAGGGAGGGTGACGGGCGGAAGGGATGGCGACGGCGGAAGGGAGGGTGACGGGCGGAAGGCATGGCGACGGGCGACGGGCGCAAGGGGGATGGCGACGGCGGAAGTGAGTGCGATGGGCGGAAGGGAAGGTGACGGGCGGAAGGGAGGGCGACGGCGGAAGTGAGTGCGACGAGCACTAGGGAGAGCGACGGGCAGTAGGGCGACGGCGGGAGGGAGTTTGATGGGCGTAAGAGAGTGCGACGGGCGGGAGTGCAGGCGTGCGGAAGGGAGTGCGACGGGCGGAAGCGGGTGCGTCGAACGTACAAGTGAGGCTAGCGTTGGAGGGGAAAACCGTCAGGCTGCTGCAAGGATATAGACATCTCGCTGCCATTGTCTAAAAGCGATGTTACGCGCTCTTGTGGTCTAGAAAAGCAAAGCGCACTACGTGTTCTAGACTCAAGATGGCTGCACGTAAGTACAACTTGGTTTTCAAGTTTACTGAGGGTGAACAGTGGACCAACTCCCGGTGGCACTTCACGCGGAATACTTTTTTTTGTCGCTGGCCAATCATGCGTCAGAGTTGTGAAGAAAAGCTGCACTTTGGGTGGTAACCTGGTTTTTGGCGAGTTCATATTCAAGAATCTTGAATTTGAAAAATGCCATGTGGAACTCGGGCTTTAAAAACAGTGCGAGCTTAGCCAATCTTCCCCGTTTCGCGGACGTGCACTCACTCGTCATGGACAGCTGGACAGCCGAGACATCAGTTTACACCAGTTTCCCGTGCGGTTCGCTGGCAAAATCGACCAGCGAAGGCGAATGTGATGGCTCCGGCCCGAGCAAGCTAGAAGGTAACAGTCGGGTACTTGACGACTCGTGCTATAGTTTCAGCGGCTTCACGCGAGTAACACGAGCCTAGGACATCGATCGCCCTTCGGCTTCTCTTTTCCGGCCGTTCAAGACAGCCTTCGTGCCATGTAGACGCGAGAGCGAGTCAGGGTTAGCACGCGAGTGCCAACAGTTTCCCGCGCGCGTGTCGTGCTGGCAGGTCTCGTCGCGGCGTCGTGGTACACGCTGTCCGAGACATCCTCCGCGCCAACCCAACCCACGCCGCTTCGCGTCGCCCTCGCCGCCTCGTCCGACGCCTCCGAGTCGTCCGTCGCTTCGACGCTCTCCGCCTCCAATGGCAACTATGCTGCTGCCGTTGCGAAACCGTCGCCGGCCACTGCAGTTTTCGTGCGTCCCACGCCACCCGAGGCGCTGCTAGTAGAACTGTCGCTCCGCGCGCGGTTCCGCGGCCGGTGGTGGTGAGCGCGTACGACGACGTGCTGGACCCCGACCTGTTCGATACCGTCGGCGAGTTGGGGCGCAGCGGGTTTGGCACGGTGGTGGCGATACGGAGAGTGGATTGCGGCGAGGTGGTGGCGGTAAATCGCGTGGCGCGCAAGCAGATGGTGGCGGCGGCGAACGAGGCGATGGTGGCAGCGTCGCTGAGCGAGTGCCCGGGAGTGCTGGGCGTGCGCGAGGTGCATCTGGCCGACCACCACGCGTACCTGCTCTCCGACCTCTGCTCTGGCGGCAACCTCCGCGCCCTCCTGCAGCGACGCGCAGAAAAGGCAAGGGCAGGCGGTGGTGGGGGAAGGCGAGCGGCGAAGGCGGGCGAGGAGGGGGAATGGCGGAGGCGGAGGCGCTGGCAGTGGTGAAGCACGTGGGCGACGCCGTGGCGTTCTACCACGAGCGAGGCGTGGTGCACTGCGACATCAAGCCCGACAACATCCTCTCCGCCTCGTTCGCTGCCAGCCAGTGGTGGTAGCAAGCACTTGTGGATTGACTCTGGCAGTGGCTTTAGGGCCCGGGGGATGTGATTCGATGGCAAGAATCAACGGCCTCTTGGGCCCACACTAGCGTTCCTGCCTCTCCACCCACCTGCAACCGCTCCACCCAACTCACCATGGCACCCTGCCACTGCCTCTTCTGCTGCCTGCTGTCAGTCTGTCACCCCATCGTTCCCTCTCCCCCGCCTCCCTCTCCCCCGCCTCTCTCTCCCCCGCCTCCCTTTCGTCCTCCTTGTCCTTCTCTCCCCGTTCCCCCCGTCAGCTGAGGGAGCTGCGGCTGTGTGGCCGCAACTTCTGGCCGCTGCGAGTCGCGGCGAGGATAGCAGGTCTGTGCCATGCGTGGCATGCATAAGGGCATCCATGTGCCATGCACGTGGCATGAATGTGGCATGGCATGGATGTGGCATGGTATGGATGTAGTGTGGATGTGCAGCATGAATGGAGCATGTATGTGGCATGCATGTCATTGGCTTGTGCGGTTTCATGTGAAATGCCATGCGGCATGCTGCGAGTTGGATGTGTTGTACATGTATTGTATCTCTCCCTATGTTCTGCTCCTCATCATTGCTTTCTTCTTGCCATCTTTGCCCCTTCCTCCCGTTTTCAATTGCACCTTGCTCTCCCTTCTTCCTCACTTCTGCCCAGTCATGATTTTTCTTTCCTTCAGCTTCCGTCTCTGTTTTCCTCCCTTCCACATATCTTGAAGTCGCTTCTAACCTCCTCTATTCACTGTATTGCTCCGCTGCTCCGTTCTCCTCTCCTCACCTCCCTCACTGCAGACCCTTTCCGGCCGTCCCTGCGAGCCACAAGGGGGAGGAGGCGAGGGGGGCAAGGAGCAGTTGCTGCAGTGGGGGGTGGGGGACGGAGGGCGTTGGGGTGGGCAATGGGAGCGGGTGTAAGTGGGGAGGGCAGTGGGGGGCGACACCTGGTGCTGCTGGTGAAGGGCCGCGGGGCACAGGGTGGCAGCGGTGGGGGTGCAGCAGCATGGGGCGAGACGGGAGGCCCCGGATCCCACATGGGGGAGGAGGTGAGCGCTCATGTGTGCCTGCATGATCCCTGCCCCGCTCACTGCCTCTCCGCTCCATTCCCCTTCATTGCAGTGCTTGAAACTTTCAATCTTTGCTCCCTCTACCCAGTCATGGCCTTTCTTCCCTAACCGCACTTCCCCAGTCTCCTTCCCCCTTCCCTCTTTTCCCCCTTATCTGTCTCTTGCATTTGTTGCAATTTCTCCCTTCATTCTCTCTCCCTCACTCACGTTACTTCCCACATGCATTCTTCATACCCCTCCGACCCCACACAACCCCATACGTTCTGCAAACCCACCCTCTTTACCCCTCCATCTCTCCCACCCATCCTCTCACACCCATCATCTTGCACCCGCCTCTCCGCACATTCCGCTCACCTTCTCCCCACCAGTCACCGCCCATCTCAGCGCGGAGCATGGCAGCCGCCCTGCCAGTGGCCGACCCCGTCCTCTCCGCCTTCCACCGCCTCTTCTGCCACCCCTTGCCAGCCACCTCGACTCCTCTTCACGCACTCTCGAGGTTAGCGCCCTCTCTTCTTCCCCACAACCAACTCCTTAGTTCTTTGCCTCTCCACCATGCATCTCATCTCTCTCTGCCTACTCTCACCACTCCCCTGTCTCCTAACAGCCTGTCTCTGCTCTCTGCCCGTTTTCCCTTTGTGCAGCCATGAGGGTTTCTCATCCGCCTGCCAAGCTGCGCTGCTCATGGCACACACAGCAGAGCAGCCAGAGCTGCTGGAGGTGAGCTTAGCACACCACACCACACCACACCACACAGCAGCACAGCACAACACATACACCGCACCACGCCATCCTTGTGTGTGACTGGATTCACTTGTTTCATTCTTAATTGATGCTTTTTCTAAGCACTTCCCTTTCGGGATCCATAGCTCTCGTTGCCAAGGCATACGCTCATAGATGGCGCTTGCGACTCCAACCATCCTTGCATGTGCGCTATCCCTTCCCCCTTCCCCGGCAGGTCCTCCTCTCTCTCGCCAACACCTGCCAGGCCGTGCGCTCGCTGCGTCACTCGCACGCCACCTGTGGCCCTGCACTGCCCTGCCTCGTCTCCTCCTTCCAGATGACCGCCCCCTGCCCTGTCTTTTGAGTCTTCCTAAAAGCCTCCAAATGACCTGTACCTCCCATCCACCCATGTCTCCCATGATCACCGCAGGTGGTGGAAGCCTTCATTCCATCGCCCCGTGCCCTCTCATCGCCCTCCCCCTCACCCACCCCCTCGAACCCCTTAAGCCTTCCCAACTGGCCCACACCAGTGCCCATTGTGAGCCCCCTCTTCCTGCGCTCCCTCTGCTCCACCCTCCATAGCCACCTGCTTGCACCCGCGCATCCAGATTCTCATCCCTGCACATCACCCCTCCTTCGCCAACATCTGGAGGACTATTCGCACCGTGGCCTGCTCCTGTGGCGGCAACAGGAGCAGCAGCAAGCATCGCACTTGGCGGAAGCAGCAGCACCACCAGCAGCAGCAGCAGCAGCAGCATGAGCAGACCATTGCCACATATTAACCAGCAGCAATCAGACAGTCAGCTCTCCTCACTCTTCCTCCTTGCGTTCGCCTTCCCCTCTCCACTCCCTCTGGGCCGCACTCTGCACACCGCCATGGCCTCGTGCTCCGCGCCTGCCTCTGCCTACATGGGCTGTTCCTTATTGTAATACGCGCTATGTAGCCCTGTCAATGGGGTGAGAATTATTACCGGTATCAGTCATTGATACAGTAACGTCCAGTTCCTTCTTGATAGCATGTTTTGACCAATTGGAATGGGATAACTCGCATTTGGATGCCAAAGCATGCATGGTACAAGACCACATGCCATCGCAACCTGGTGCCCAGGTGGTGCAAGCTACGGTAGTCGCACACGACAGCACACATGCTCTTGCACCCACGGCCATAGGCAGGTTATCCAACCGGCATCATGGAGGCGATTCAGCAGCATGCTAATTTATTGTGTGGTGGTTAAAATTTGGACATTAGAGTGACTTGCAGAATGTCATTGTGTGTTCCATGCATGCTGCACTGGGTTTTTGTGATCATCACCTACATGTTCTTTCACTCCGTTGCATTGCTGCATTCATACATTAGAATCTGAAAGGAGAAAACCTCACTGCACTGCACCAATTTGAACATATCATATCACATTGCTTCAATTGAGCTAAACAAAAGCAACTAGATAGAGCTAAATCCGAGCTAACGTGTGCGAGCATCAGTATCAGCAGCCTCATCATGCACACTAAGACCAATCCTTGAAAGAGTAGAGAGAGAAGGCGTGAGCGAACAGCAAGCAATGCAGCAAGGCGTCGTGCACCCATCCCCTTCCATCCACCGCATCCACCCAGCATCCCAAACACCCTGACAGGCAGGGTGCAAAAAGTGGTGCTCCACCATGCCATCCCACTCTCCCTTGCCTCCCCCAACCGCCACACCACACCAGCTGCATTCCCTCTGCTGCTCAGCAAACTACTCCTCCACCCTTCCCCCCTGCTGCCTCCTCCTGCATGCATCACACTCACCACCATCTCCCCCTGCTGCGCGTGCCGCTGCCCCCGAAGGCTTGGATCATGGCGGGGTGGTGGCACACGTGCGCCATGGTGAGCCTCTCCTGCGCGCGCACTCTCAGCATGCCGCTCACCAGCGCGCGCACTCTCAGCATGCCGCTCACCAGCGCGCGGCACTCCTCCGACACGCCCTCCCACGCTGCCCCCTCCATGCGCGCGCGCCACTCGCCCTGCTGAGGCGCCTCCCCCGCGTACGGCCGCTCGCCTGCGATCATCTCGAACAGCGTCACCCCCAGCGACCACACGTCTGCTGCGCGCCCATACCCGCCTGCCTCTGCCTCTCCCCCTGCTGCTCTCGCCGCGGCTCCTCTTCCCTGCTTCGCGGCGCCAGGGGCGGGCGGGCAGCGAGGGTGGCAGAGGGCCTCCACCTCAGGCGCCATGTACCCGGGCGTGCCTGCGGGAGTGCTGCACGCGCGCTGCCCCTCCGCCACCCCAAAGTCCGCCAGCCGCACTGTCCCCGCCGCCAGCCCGGGGGAGGCGCGCGCCGAGGAGACGGGCGCGCAGAGGCGGGCAGCAGGAGAGGGGTGCGCAGGCGCAGCGGGGCTAGCGGCGGGTTGGCAAGGCGGGGGGTCCAAGTTGGAGGGGGGTGAGGCGAAGAGGATGTTGTCGGGCTTGATGTCGCAGTGCACCACGCCTCGCTCGTGGCAGAACGCCACGGCGTCGCCCACGTGCTTCACCACTGCCAGCGCCTCCGCCTCCGCCATTCCCCCTCCCCGCTTGCCTTCGCCGCTCGCCTTCCCCCACCACCGCCTGCCCTTGCCTTTCTCCGCGGCGGCGGTTGCTGCGGCAGCGGCGCGTCGCTGCAGGAGGGCGCGGAGGTCGCCGCCAGAGCAGACGTCGGAGAGCAGGTACGCGTGGTGGTCGGCCAGATGCACCTCGCGCACGCCCAGCACTCCCGGGCACTCGCTCACCGACGCTGTCACCATCGCCTCGTTCGCCGCCGCCGCCATCTGCTTGCGCGCCACGCGCTTCACCGCCACCACCTCGCCGCTTTCCACTCGCCGCATCGCCACCACCGTGCCAAACCCGCCGCGCCCCAACTCGCCGGCGGTCTCGAACAGGTCGGGGTCCAGCACGCCGTCGTACGCGCTCACCACCACCGGCCGCGGCACCGCGCGCGGAGCGACAATTCTACTAGCAGCGCCTCGGGCGGCGGGGGACGCGTTAACTGCAGCGGCTGGCGACGGTTTCGCAACGGCAGCAGCATTGTCGCCATTGGAGGCGGATAGCGTCGAAGCGACGGACGAATCGGAGGCGTCGGACGTGGCGGCGAGGGCGACGCGAAGCGGCGTGGGGTGGGTTGGCGCGGAGGACGTCTCGGACGGCGCGTACCACGACGGCGTGACGAGACCTGCCAGCACGACACGCGCGCGGGAAACGGTTGGCACTCGCGTGCTAACCCTAACTCGCCCTCGCGTCTACTTGGCTTGACAGGGGTTCTCGTGAAGGAGGGAAAAGAGCGGCCGAAGGGTGGTCGAAGTCCTGGGCTCACGTTACTCGCGTTCGGCCGCTAAAACTATAGCTCGGGTCGTCAATTACTCGACTGTTACCTTCTAGCTTGCTCGGATTGGAGCCTTCGCAGGCCGATTTTGCCAGCGATTCGCACGAGAAACCGGTGCAAACTGGTGGCTTAGCCATCCAGCTGTCCATGGCGAGCGAGTGCACGTCCGCGAAACCGCGATTAGCTAAGCTCGCACTGTTTGTTTCAAAACGAGAGCTGCAAACGTTTCAGATTAACACTACTCGAGAGCACGAGAAGAGGTTTCGAACGACTCTGGATCAGTGTCTGAGGCAGTATAGCAGCGTCAGAGGAAGTAGATCTGTAAGACTAGCTGAGCAGAGCGTGAGAAAAAAATGGAATTAGTGCCTGAGGTATGTACTGGACTTGAGGCAAGCAGGCTTGAGAAGAGAGTTGGAGGCAGAGGGTTGATCGAGGCAAATGTTGAGGGGAGAAAAGGTCAGAGGGTTCAGCGCGGCGCGACTGCTGGAAAACGTCGCCTGGCCTAGGTATGCTGGCCGCGAGAATGTCGCCGCGATGGCGAAAATTCTTCAATTCTGCAGCTTCAGCCCGTCCGGGTTACACCACCCCAATCCCCGAAAGAAATTTGTTCTCGCCTCGCTTTTCGCTAACCTAAGCCGTCCAGCAGAAGGTGAGTCATGCACAGCTGTCTTGCGAAACTCAATGCTTCGCAAACGCAGCCTCTTGTAGCCGCTGGAATGACGGTGTGGAGCTGGGCAGCCAAACCGAATCTTTCTAAACCAGGCTCGTTAGGGAACCGAGGCTAAGCCCGCGTCGCCTTCTGGCAACCAAATGTCGAGCCTTGCGTACACCACTGTTCCCGCCAACAGCACCCAACAGTAATCCGTTACCACTCGCGACACTCGCCTCGGTACTGTTCCCGCCACTGTTCACGACGCGACCCAACCTCACGGCTCGGTTGGTAACCCGCGCTCCGGACCTCCGCCTCGACAATTCCCAACCTCGGCGCTAGGCCCGTCGCGCACCCCATTTTCCACACATTACCGTTACCACTGTAGTTTCGCTATATAATCTTCGCTCATGCCTTCGCTCATTGTACTTGTTGCTTCGATAGTGCAATCTTCGTTCGCTCACTCAATTGCACTCGTAACAATTATACATTATCCCGTTTTTGTCTTTTTTTTTATGTTGAAAACAAGAACTACTATAATTTTGTCCCTATTTTGGCAACATTAACAGATCTAAAATTATGTTAACACTAATGAAATATGAGATCGATATGATATAAAATAATAATGCCTCGTGAAAAACATACATACACAACTACGCAGAGCTATAAATTGTAGCGGGTTAATTTCGACTTTGTAACGAATTCGTTGTAAGGATCGAACCGCAACAGCAATGGTAAAACAGTTATTAAGTTATAACTTCTGATATTCCTTGTAATCTTATAAAAAGCTTGTATCTCCTTGTTTTAATCAATCTACTTTGCCCTCACATACCAGCGCAAGGTGGTTCAAACCCCTTTTATTAAGCTTCCGCTATTATAACAAGTCCTACCTAGAGTTCACCCCTGCAAAAGATCCTAACGGCTTTTCTCAGCCCAACATGGTATGAGAGCTGACAAGGGGAATTCAACTACTATCAAGTCACCTACAACATCAGAAAGCATGGCAACCTAGAAAGAAAGGAGTTCCTCTAACGGTTCTCCTGGCACTACTCCTACTCCACCTCCTGCCTCTGGCCTACAGACAGAGGAGGGTACGGCAACAAGATCAAGGGCAACATCTACCGAGACTCCCGCGAATCAACCTGCAGGCTTCGACCAGAGCATGATAGAGAAGTTTTTCTCCTTCATGTCCTTCTACGAGCAGCACCAGCAATCGGCGCCTGCGCAGTCACACAACAGCAACAACAACGAAGTGAATCCCATGAGCCTTGATGGCTCATCATACGCGCGCGAAAATCAACAGCAACAGCCTACCTTTGCTCCGTACGAGCGGAGGTCCATCAGCTTCATGCCGCACCCGCAGCCTTCACCTGGACAAGAGAAGACACTGGACGCGTTACAAGTTCAGTCGCAGTTCGCACACGTTCTGAAATCGCAGACGTCAAGACCTTTCGACGGAAAAGTCTTCTTCTCCCGGTCGTTTGAGTTCGAGCCGATGATGGAAGGCGCACAGATTCTCGGCTTCTTCGACGGAACCCTGCCATACCCAACAAACGGCACACAGTATGAGAAGCAGCAGTACACCTATCAGTCAATGATGGCGTACACAATCCTTATAAGGAATATCACGCCGACTCAGCAGCAGATTATACGGTCTTATCGAGGATACGGCAACTCCGCCGAGCTCGCATACAACCACTTGAAGAGCCTGTATCAAGCAACAGACAGTGTAAATCAGAGTCGGTTGATGGCACAACTGACAACAGTCGAAATGAAACCAGGGGAAAAGGGGATGGCGTATATCAGTCGCTGTCGCGAATTGCGCGACAAACTCCTTCGATGCGGAGGGTCAATATCAGAAGACGCCTTCGTGACAGTCATCATCGGCGGCCTCGGTCCTCAATGGCGCGCCACAAAAGCCATTCTCCGAGCCCACGGAAGAATCTCCGAAGCAGCACTTTGCGCTGAAATTCACGTCGAGCAACAAGACATAGACCTGCAAGAAGAAAGACACAAAAGGAAGACGTCAGCACCGGAATTCGCTTTCCACACTCAGCGACGCTACAACAACAACAACAACCGACAACAACCAAAGCCCGCACCTCCGTTCTGCCACATCTGCAAGACGTCAAAACATCCATGCACACACTGCCCAAATCGACAACAATCGGCACCGCCGCAGCGGCAGCTTCGACCTTCAAGCAGCCAAGTGGCATCGACGCAGGCGAACCCCACGAGTCAGCCGCAGTCTTCAACAACACAACCTGCACAAGGAGCAAGAAACATTGTCAGTTGCATGGCAAGACTAACAGATTCCTGCATCACCGAATCACCACCGCACTACTCACCAGAGGAGCAACTAGACAACAGTACGCCTCGCCGTGAGTCACTTCAACCAAACCCGACATATGCCGCCATCGCCCAAAGTGAACCATCCGGAAAGGACACTTGGTTCCTGGACAGTTGCTGCAGACAGCACATGTGTTCTTCAGGACGCTTCGTGCAGCGAGAGTATCAACTTCAACGCGAAGTAGTCATCACCGTCGCCAACAACCAAAACCTGCGCACACGACGACAAGGAGTAGTTCAACTTCAGTCACAGGAAACAAACGTTATACTGCAAATGTCAAAGGTCCTAATAGCAGAAGGACTCGGCTACAACTTACTCAGTGTCAGCCAACTGATGGCGAAAGGCATCCATCTCGAAGCAGACAGCACCACCCAAGAGTTCAAGCTGTACCACGGGAGAGGAGGCCTCTACATCGGGAGTTGATAGGGCAGAAATTTGAATGATGCGTCGCCGGCACAAGGCCGTGCGATCTGCGGAGTTACCATGTTTCACCAAATGGACCGGGCAAGCCCGGCATTGGCCTTTGCTCTAATAAATGCGTCCCTTCCGTGAGGTCAGGACATTTTGCACGTATTAGCTCTAGAATTACTACGGTTATCCGAGTAATTGGGCACCATCAAATAAACAATAACTGATTTATTGAGCCATTCGCAGTTTCGAGGGAACAAATGCCCTCTTATACTTAGACATGCATGGCTTAATCTTTGAGACAAGCATATGACTACTGGCAGGATCAACCAGGTAGCCCTTCCCCAAGGTGTTCAGGAGCGCGGGAGCCTTGGGTCTAAGAGCGTGGGTCTAAGAGCGTGGGTCTAAGAGCGTGGGTCTAAGAGCGTGGTGGGTCTAGGAGCGTGGGTCTAAGAGAGTGGGTCTAAGAGCGTGGGTCTAAGAGCGTGGGTCTAAGAGCGTGGGTCTAAGAGCGTGGGTCTAAGAGCGTGGGTCTAAGAGCGTGGGTCTAAGAGCGTGGGTCTAAGAGCGTGGGTCTAAGAGCGTGGGTCTAAGGGCGTGGGTCTAAGAGCGTGGGTCTAAGAGCGTGGGTCTAAGAGCGTGGGTCTAAGAGCATGGGTATAAGAGCATGGGTCTAAGAGCGTGGTGGGTCTAAGAGCGTGGGTCTAAGAGCGTGGGTCTAAGAGCGTGGGTCTAAGAGCGTGGGTCTAAGAGCGTGGGTCTAAGAGCGTGGGTCTAAGAGCGTGGGTCTAAGAGCGTGGGTCTAAGGGCGTGGGTCTGAAGAATAACGTCTTCGTCCTCGACTTCGTTCCAGATCTCAGCACTGCCGACAGCGACGCCATCGTCAACTTCACCAACTGGACACATCCACCAGGTCTTGATCCAGAATTCAGCCCAGAAGGCTTCTGGTAGTTACACACCATCCCTGAAGCAGAAAGAACAAGAGCATTAGAAACAGCAGAGACAACATCAACAACAGCAGAGACAACATCGACAACAGCAGAAACAACACCACCAGCAGCAGAGACAACATCAACAGCAGCAGAGACAACATCGACAACAGCAAAAACAACACCGGCAGCAGCAGAGACAACACCGGCAGCAGCAGAGACAACACCGGCAGCAGCAGAGACAACACCGGCAGCAGCAGAGACAACATCGGCAGCAGCGGCGGCAACAACAACACCAATCGCTGGTCCTTCAACGGCACCAATCTTCATCGACAATACACCACCGACACCCGCGCAGCAGCTAACCCCGGCACCACGAGAAGTTTATCAAAGCGCCAACTTCACCGCCAGCTTCTATTCCAACTCCGACATGTATCGACGCTCACCCGGATATCGCGCCACTGAAGGAACCTGGCACGCAAGGATGGGACATCCAAGCAACACAGTGTTAAACAACACGATAAGAGCAGGCGTACTCGACAAAGACTCGCTACTACTGACTGACGGCAAAGAACTTCATCGAGCCCGTGGAACATGCTTCACCTGTCCCGAAGCTTACTTACCGCATCAACAGTTCATCTCTCACCACAACCCAAGTGCACGAGCTTACGCGCCACTCGAGAAGGTGTACAGCGACATCCTGTACAGCCGCAAACCCAGACAAAACGCGTATAATTACACCATAACCTTCATCGACGCTGCCACGCGATACGTCTGGCACCTAAATCTTCCAAGCCGCGA